TGGAGAAGGGCAGCACCGGTTTATGTTTATGGTTGAATGGACGGGGAAATTGATGAGTGCAGCAGAGTGACGAGTTGGAGGAAATGCGAGTGATTTAATTGCAGAATATAGATGGAACGTTAAAAATAGAGAGTAAGGGAGTAATTTGTTCTGAACAAATCGTGAAACTCAATTGTTTTGGGAGCTTCAACAAACCTGAACGTGCAATTCGATGGTGACGTTGACACCGTCGGCTTCTGGCAGCAAATGTATATCATAATCCTTCAAAAGCGTCTCGATAATGTGACCCAAATTTATGGAATTCCTGAAAACGAATTCAGTTTCGCTGATAAATTTCACCTCTTCCAGTCGGTAACGTTTGTTTCAAGACTGCTGCTTAAATACCTCGTGATCTTGGAAACCGCCCTATAAAAGCTTCATGCAGATGACTTTTTTTTTGATTACTCTTTTAATACCGAGAAAACTGATCGTTTAGAAGCGGAATATTTTTGTGAATAGCTGCAGATATATATCCTCGAGACTATCAGACAACTGGCGAACACTCATTCTAGATCATTGAGATGATTATAATGAGCAATTTGAAGCACCCGAAATGACATTCTGAATTTTTACTGGCAAAAAGACGAAATTAGGCGAAAAAATTACATCTTTAGTGAATATGTCCCTGGGGAAATCTTGGCTATGATCAGATTAAGAGCAATGTGATCAGCGCAAAGAAAAATGGCACAACTGAAGTTGTTGAATTTGATCGGATTCTTTTGATGAGTAAAATATCGAATGGAGCACCTTTAAATGAAGACTCATCAAAAGTGAAACAAAAATTTCATAGAGGTTTACAATATTTCGAAATTGTAAAAATATAAAATTTATTTCGATAAAATTTTTACAATATATATAAAATTTACAATATATATATATAAAATTTTTACAACAATATTTCGAAATGAAATATTGTTGTAAAAATCAACTAAGAGCAGTTTAAAAAACAATAAGAATGTTCCAAACATTCCTTACAGCATAATGCCACAAATTCTGGAAAATAAAGTTACATTTTATCGTAAACAGATCGATTGTATAGCTCAAACATTACAAGTGGATTCCATCCTTCTCGTTATATACTTACTGATTATCTCGATTACTCATTCTTACCAAATCCATCATCACACTGTTCAAGCTCTTTTGTCTTACCCTCTTCATTCAGTTTCGTCTTATATTATTGGTGGAATCGTTAAACTGCTTGTCACTATAAGAAAATCATTGATATCTAAGAAATTTATTTATGCTCGTCTCGCTCAAATGATACCTTTTCTTCAGGCGTCGTATTGTTTTCTGACGGAACTAGAGTGTGCACAAAGCTTGTATTGCCACGACACAGCTAACAGGCTGCATTCCATTCAGACACTCATAATGGCTTGTTTTTCTCGATGAAGAAATACAATATGGAATCAACGTAATGTTATCCTTCGCTGCGCATATCAATTGTCACTTATCTATCTAACTGATGCCGTGAACACGTCCTGTCTTCAATTCATTCCCACATCGTAATCATTTTTCATGTCGCTGATTTCAAATTTCTCTGTGGAAGGACTGATTAACTTCCCTTTGCATGCTCCCACTCGCTCGCTTGAATTCTTAAAGATATTCCAGTGGAAAAACAAATTAATGCCAGAAGTCAACTAAATATCATAATCAGTATCATATTCAGAAGAAGTTCTATCAGATTTCAATCTGATAAACCATCAACAATCAATCCTTAACATTCATGAGAGGGAGACTGATACAAATATAAAGTGATCGAATTTCGCGCCCGTATGAACAAATCAAATATCTCAGCTTTGATGACTGAACTGAATGTGTATAACTGAGGCAAATCTTATGCGGCACATGAATAAATTGAGGGACCGGAAGCACTAATTTGAATGCATTAACTTAACTCGAATCCAATCATGACTTTGGTTTACATTCACCACATCGAATTTCTAGTGCTCTTTCTGAACGTTTATTAACCGAAGATATTGAAAATCGTCAAGAGTGATTTGTCAATTCAGTCTCACTTACTCAAACAGCCATGTGAGAGTACGTCTTTTTTTCCAGGCGTTCCTTCCATCTACAGATCAAATTTCGAATGTGCCCTCATTCAGCACTATTTGAAGTTTCAGTGATGCATAAAAATGTAAGATGAGAAACGATATAGAGGAATACAGAAACTGGCAATAGGCATTAATGATAGATGAAGCCTTCTACGAGACCGGTATCATTTGTCGCTATAATTTGGGTGACAGTTTTGTTTACTTTGCATACACTCAGCACATCATGCCCAGCAGTTTCGCTTTGTTTGACTTATAACTACATCCCGCACATTCATACGCAATTGTAGCATCTTTTTTTCCGCACTAGCGTTTCTCTAGACTGAAATGAATACTTCCCAAAAATGCCAACTCGAAACTGAGACAATTTACTGATGATTGCACCTAATAGTATGTGTCAAAAGTTAAAGAATTCGGTCAATCAAAAATTTGCTTACTTCATTTGTGGAATTCGATTTTACTGCAGTTAGAAGATTAATAGAGCACAACTCCATTCGATGATAATAAAAAGAATTGATGACATGGCTTATTTAGGCGGAATACCGACCTTTACAACATTCTTTATAAGTGCTCCATGAAACAAGCATCAGCCGTTGATGAACTCATAAAAATCTTTTTGAAAAGCGCATGACATACACGCAAAATATCGTCAACCATTGATATAATGAAATCATAACTTTACTTTCTCATATCATTGGAAGATAGTATAACGAAACGTTAGATTCAATCATATTGAGTTGCTTTTAAACATTTTATTTTATTACTTTCAGGTCAACAAATGAGATGGTAACCTCTTGAGATATGTTTAAAGTTATCATATGAGTTTAAGAAGGCAGTAAGCTTTTAAACTTTTAAGGCACCAATAACTGCATTGCACTGCTCGAAGATCAAAAATACTGCCCATCAAACTACTGAATTCCAGTGTTAATGCCAAAAAGGTTGTTAACTGATCGATTCGTCGCAGTAACCTTCACTTCAGAAGAAATTCACGATGATACATCTATCGTATTTACCTGGCTTATCAAAATTTTTACTTATCATGTATTTGATGCTTTTTGTGATAATTTTACAGTTTTCAGCTGGAAAAGTTGATACTGCACTAAAAGATTCTTGAAAGTATTTTACATAATTTACATAATCTGACTGATGAAAATTGTTAGCTACTATCTGTCAGCTGACTTACGATTAGAAGGAAATCAGTTGAAGCGTGAACAACCGAAGTTCTGGTGCAATATGGATGTGTTTACAGCTTAACGGGCTGGCTGATTCATTCGTTTATTTGTGCGCAATTCGTTATTTGAGAATTTTGTAGCTTCCAACTTCCCTTCACCATCGTTCGTCATTTCTTCATCATTTTTACGGATTGATGCGCGCAAATACGATTTTAAATAAAATACAATTTTCCACTCAATAGAATTCTCTTCAACGGTTGAATTCGACTGAAGTGGATTCTGTTTTGATTTTTTACACAATGTCATTTTCAGTGCTGATCGCGTATAATTTGTCGAACAGCAATGCTAATTAAAATTTTCAGCTACTTTTTTCAGATACATGATAATAAATGTGGTCGGTTTGAAAGTGTCGACAGTTGAAGAAAAAAACAGCGATAGAATGCAATCGCTTAATTATCTGCTCGAGAACATTTCGTACGTTTCAGAGCAGCAGTTCGATTGAGACGAAAATAGTAAAAGTAAACGGTCGTTTCAGATGGATGCACTCGAGCACTGTTCCTGTCAAAAAAATTAAAAATCTTAAATTCATCTACGGACTGAAAAGAAGATAGGTAATGAGCAATGGAAGAA